GGGGGAGGTGGCAATGACATCTTCCCACCCCAGTTTTGGCTCTTCCCACGCGGAGAGGGAAGAAGGGGGGGAGCTCAGGGAGGCAGCAGCACCAGCCCCCCCAGGGCTGGGCTGGGATTTCCCCTCTGGGGTTCAGAACCATCCTGGAAAGTCCAACTTTGTAAGTCAGCAGGGCCCGGTGGAGGAGGAGGAGGAAGATGAGGAGGAAGATGAGGAGGAGGAGGAGGAGGAGAAGGAGATGAGGAGAAGCAGGAGGAGGAGGAGGATGAGGAGGAGGATGAGGAGGAGGATGAGGAGGATGAGGAGGAGGAGGATGAGGAGGAGGAGGATGAGGAGGAAGATGAGAATGAGGAGGATGAGGAGGATGATGATGATGAGGATGAGGAGGAAGATGAGAATGAGGAGGAGGATGAGGAAGAGGATGAAGATGGGGAGGAGGAGGGTGAGGAGGAGGATGAGGAAGATGAGGAGGAGGAGGATGAGGAAGATGAGGAGGAGGAGGATGAGGAAGATGAGGAGGAGGAGGATGAGGAGGAAGATGAGAATGAGGAGGAGGATGAGGAAGAGGATGAAGATGGGGAGGAGGAGGGTGAGGAGGAGGATGAGGAAGATGAGGAGGAGGAGGATGAGGAAGATGAGGAGGAGGAGGATGAGGAAGATGATCCTCCAGCTCCGCCCAGCACCTCCCGGGGCAGCCACGCGCGGTCCCTCTGTCCCACCTGCACTCTGGCTTCGGTCAGTTCCGTCCTCAGCGCCAACTGCTCCCGGGCGTAGACGTCGGGATAATGTGTCTTCTGGAAAACCTTCTCCAGCTCCTCCAGCTGGAACGTGCTGAAGGTGGTTCTGTTCCTCCTCTTCTTGCTCTTGCTCTTGCCCAGGGGCTGGGGGAGCTCGGGGAGCCCGTGTTCCCGGAGGGGGCCCAAAGGCGCTGCCAGGGGGTACCCCAACTCCCCGGGGGCTTTCAGGGGGGCCCGACAGGCTGCTGGCATCCCCTGGTACCCCCCTTTGCACCCCCCCTTCTCACCGCCTGCCGGGGGGAGAGGCACGAGGTGGGGGAGGGTGTTCGTGGTGTTAACAAAGCCAAGACCCCCCCATCCCC